GCTCACGGACATCTGGTTCCCCCGGGTCAGACGCCCTCTTCTGGTTCAGGCTCTCATACGCATAAAATAAACCTTTAATGAGAGAGGGGGAGCATACTAAGAGGATGGCTGGGGCGTATCATTCACCATCCTCTCTCTCTCTCTCTCTCTCTCTCTCTCTCTCTCTCTCTCTGCATAGTTTCTGACAATGTCTTTATTATGCATCTGCATGTCATTGTTTTGGCAACTCCAAGATTTTGGCAACCCTGATGAGACTGAACAAATCGAGGTGATCGCTCGCCCACCTCTCATAAGCTAACTTGCTATTGAACATGTACTCTAAAGAAAGGATCTTGGTGGGTTTGTGGTAAAGCAGGTACTTGTTCAGGTAACTCTCGTCGAGCCACAGGGCCTCAATGTTGTTGGACTTATCTGTTTCAATCATCTGGTGACAGGCTGCAGTGAGCCTCTGTATCTCTGCCACTGATCCCCCAAACAAGGACCCTGTGTAATAAAAGTCGCCCTCATCCTTTGGGATGTAAGCTTGTGACTTAGGCCGGCGTTCGTAGCGGAAAGCATCCCGAATGACCCTGTAGAAGCTCAAATGGAGGGTGGCGAACAAAGGAGAGAGAATCTCCACGCCCACGGCATGCTGGAAGGTGACGTCCACATCAGAACACACAAAATAAGCCACCTCCTCATGAAGACGCTGCTTGGAATAGACGCTGATAACCTCCATACGCTGCATGGCGTTGTCCTGTGGGCGCTCAAAACTCGGGATCTGGAAGGTGATCACTTTTCTTCCATTTCGGAGGGAGCTGTGAGGAACTGTGTGAGGCTGATCAGTGAAGACGTAGTAGTTCACCCTGTGTTCCACCATGAAGAATGTGTCTGCAGACCTCAGGAACTGCTCCAGGTATACCGTGTAGTTTTTTAAAGCAAACACACTCAATCCGATGGTGGCATTCTGGAGTTGGAACTGCTTGTTTAAGATGTCGATATTGAAAGTCTCATCCCACACAATCGGGGCAAGCCAGCTGGTCAGCACAGGGACACCCCTCCTAGCGGGTCTGAGCACACTTGGCTGGGGGTATATCAGTTTTGATAGTTGTTTATCTCGCTGCCTATACTTTCCTGTAGAAGCCATGCCCGTCGTGATTAGCTCGCGTTTGTGAATCTGGCTCTTTTGGTGCCAGTAGCCATAACCAAAAACAGCCAAGAGAAGAGCAATGAGAAGAAAAGTCGCTTGGCGAAGTGCGGAGTGTTGCCTACACAATGTCCACAGTGGCCTGGCCATGGCCCACGTCCGACAGGTGTAGCCTGGATCTGTCAATGCTCTCGG